CTGAAAGAATATCCTACTTCATTATCATCAATTTTAAATGTAAATTAACGAACTGCCTCCAGCAAATTTATCTACATCTTCAATCAAAATATGTTTTGTGGAATGAAATATCCATCAGGAATAAAGTAATTGTGAAAGGTTAATTTAAATTTTTGCATGCTTGAATTACTAAACATCAAAACGCAATAATTTAAGATTAACGATAAATTTATTATTTGCATTTGTAATTTAGTTTTGATGATATTTCAAAGTCGTTGCAGTTTAATATCAATACTGTCAAATAAACTACATATATACTTGAAAAAATTTTCAAAAAAGCTTCAAAAAACCTTCTTAAAGCATTCATTTTATGTTGAATCAACGAATTAAAATAATACTTTTGTTGGATAAAGTGTCAAAAAAGTGTGACATTCTTTATATTAAAGTGGACATCGTTCTTTCTTAAAATCATTATTAGAATTAAAGTTAGCACTTCGAATCTTTGAGTAAATTGGAATCTAGTGCTTTTTTATAAGTACCAAATATATAATCATTTTTTAAAATGGAAAATTTGCAGATAATTTGCTAATTTTTAGATCCAATTCTTTTCTATAATCCATTGCAGAAGTTATTAAGAGAATAATTGATATAAGCCTTGCATTAATATAAAATTTAATATAAAACCTTCAAGACTAATTGATAAATTCATATATGTAGTTTATGTCTAAATAAACATTTCAGTGTTAAAAATCTATAAATTTTCTGATTATGAATTTTTATTAGAAGCAGATTGTGCGATATTTGATGAACATAGGGTAAATTTGCTATATTTCTAATTTATCTTAAATACATATTATAAAATTTAAAGAAGTTAAAAGACACATGCTATGAACGAAGATTTACTTAAAATTTTGTTATGAAATTTCCAAAAAAAAGGATTATATATCCAAGTTTTGAAAATTTTCAAAATTTATTACAATCCCTTTTTACATTTACTAAATATTTCAAATTGAAAATGAAATTCAGTCTCAAATTTAGTTCTTAGGTAGTCTGTACTGGTTGAGTGATATTATCTACTAATAATATCAAGTTTGCTCCAATGTTTTAAACCATAGACTAAGGTTATCGG